TTTTCGATTCCAATACAATTGTTTTCCATAGTAAAATTTATTGAAGTTTGTTGATTCTTTGTGGTAATTTGATGTAACGTAACTTTTTCAATTCGTTTGGAAGTAAATTTCATAGTTTTATCATTTTTCTACTTTATTGCGGTTATTTACTAATAGCTTTATCATTGATAAACGTGATAGTTAATCATGGCTAATATTGATAGGTTATCGTTATAGTTCGTAATAAATATACATGAATAAGATGCTAGTGGCGTTGATAATTAAATTAAAACAATTATCAACTACTCAAATTCTCACGTAATCCTTAGTTTTTTCTTTTGTGACTATAAAACATATTAATGCCATTTTGTCGCATCATATATTATCTACTCATACGTCACATAAATTATATTCGAAACAAATTTAAATATCGAAAGTAAAATCACGTTAGATTTTAAACTCGAAAACGGCCTTGAGGCATATACGCTGATCAAAATTAGCGACTATTTACTAACGCACGTGTGGTTCCGCCTCCTCTAAGAATACTGTTATTTACCTTTCTCACATTCGCGCTAATACTTGCTTTGACCGGAAAAATACATTCCTTGTAAAATTAGAGAAATAAAATATTAGTAACATGTATGGACTATTCATTAATATGTCCATTGATCATTTCGTATAATGAACGAATCAATAAAGTAGAATGTAATAAAAAAAATCAATCAATATCCGAAAGACTAAATTTATACCAAACTTATTTTGATCAATCGATTCTCATTATAAATATACTACTCATTAGCGGAGATCAAAATATGAATACTACGCTGGTCAAAATAAGCGAAAACCAGCCACGTCTCTCAAGTGGTTTTGTATTATGTTAATTTCATGAATATTTTGACAGATCATTTCGTACAGTGTACGAATTTCTTAGGAAGTTTGTGATGGATAAATTTGGTCAATGTACGATAGACTAAAACAAAATGAAACCGATTTTGATTTATCAACTCTCGTTGTTAATTTTCAATTCCAAATTTGTATAACCTTGAAATTTCCTTCATACTCGTTACACAAAACAATATCTAGCCACATCTTTAGAGTCGTCTCACGACAAATTTTTATCACTAATATGTCGACAGATCATTTTGTACAATGTACGAATCAATAAGGAAGAATGTGATAAATTAATTCAATCAATATCCCATAGTTCAAACTTATACCAAATTGATTTTGATCCATAGTTTAACGTTAAAAATCTACTCATTAGCGAAGATCATGACATGCAAACTACGCTGGTCAAACTAAGCAAAATCTAATCACGTCTCTCAAGTGGTTTTGTATTATTTTAATTCCATAAATATTTTGACAAATCATTCCGTACAGTGTACGAATTTGTTAGATAGATTCTAATAAATAAATTTGATCTGTATACGATAAACTAAGAAGATAAGAATTCGATTTTGATTCATCAACTCTCATTATTACTTTTCAATTTAATATTTGCAAATCCATTAATTTCCATTCATACCCGTTAAAAAAACAATATTACATCTCTTAAGTAGGCTAGCGACATATTTTTTTAATTGATAGGTCGTCAGATCATTTCGTACAATGTACGAATCGATAAGGAAGAATCTTATAACTACATTCAGTCAAGATCCGATAGTTTAAATTTATACCAAATTGATTTTGATCCATAGTTTAACGTTCAAAATCTATTCATAAGCGAATACCAAGATATGCAAACGACGCTGGTCAAAATAAACGAAAGCCAGCCACGTCTCTGAAGTGGTTTTGTATTATATTAATTTCATGAATATTTTGACAAATCATTCCGTACAGTGTACGAATTTGTTAGATAGATTTTAATAAATAAATTTGATCTGTATACGATAAACTAAGAAGATAAGAATTCGATTTTGATTCATCAACCCTCGTTATTACTTTTCAATTCAATATTAGCAAATCCATTAATTTCCATTCATACCCGTTAAAAAAAAAATACTAATCTCTTGAGTAGGCTCGCGACATATTTTTTTAATTGATAGGTCGTCAGATATTTCGTACAATGTACGAATCGATAAGGAAGAATCTGATTACATTCAGTCAAGATCCGATAGTTTAAATTTATACCAAATTGATTTTGATCCATAGTTTAACGTTACAAATCTACTTATTAGCGAATATCAAGATATGCAAACGGCGCTGGTCAAAATAAGCGAAAGCCATCCACGTCTCTCAAGTGGTTTTGTATTATATTAATTTCATAAATATTTGGACGAATTATTTCGTATAGTGTACGAATTTGTTAGGACGTTTGTGATGAATAAATTTGGTCAATATACGATGGACTAAAACGAAATGAAACCGATTTTGATGCATCAACTTTCGTTATTACTTTTCAGTTCAATATTTGCAAATCCATTAATTTCCATTCATACCCGTTACAAAAACATTACTACATCTCTTGAGTAGGCTCGCGACATGTTTTTTTTATTGATAGGTCGACAGATCATTTCGTAAAATGTACGAATCGATAAGGAAGAATGTGATAAATAAATTCAATCAACAACCGATACTCTTATTTTATACCAAATTGATTTTGATTCATGGATTCGTATTAAGAATATACCCATCAGCGGCCATCATGTTATGCACACTTCGCTCGTAAATTTAAGCAATATCTAGCCGTGTCTTTCAATTTATCTTGTTTTATGTTTATTTTATAAATTTTTAGACATATTATTTTGTGCAGTGTACATGTTCGTTAAGATAATTGCGATAAATAAATTAAGTCAACATCCGATAGTCTGCGAAAATATCAAATTAATTTTGATTCATTAATTCTCGAAATGAATTTTCGAATCCTAATATTAGCGATCATGGTACACTAGCTAGGCTCGTCTAATATAACAATAGCTAGTTTCATATCTTAATTAGATTCCTATGATATTTATCCTAGGAATGTTTAGACATTCGATTTTGTAGAGTGTAATTATTATTAATGTTGATCGTGATCGTTTAATTTTATCAATGATTGCCGGTACTTAAATATTGATCACACTTTTGCTTCGTAAGCCCTCAATATTAATTTTGTATTCGTAATTTTGACGATTGTTGCGTACCCGTTACTCTCGTTAAGTAAAGCAATATCTACAATCATTTGTGAAGATGGATATGTATAATATTGGTGTCTTGTACGAGGTGTGTTCAAAAAGTAAGGTGACTTTTCAAATTTCACGGGCAATGTACTTTCGAATATCGATATTTTTGTTTTGTTATGTTGGTACACTTTTCCCGAACATCTGTACCAAGTTTCAAGTTTATAGCATTTTTTGTTTGGTTGTGAGAGGCGTAAAGGTTATAAGTGTTTTGCGTGCTCGGCGATTTCTTGCTATCGAAAAATATGGATCAAAGGATTTGCATCAAATTTTGTGTAAAAAATAAAATAAAGTGCTCCGAAACACTTGAAATGTTGACGGTGGCATACGGTGAAACTGTTCTGAGTAAAAGAAATGTTTACAAGTGGTACGAACTCTTCCAAGATGGCCGGGAAGATGCCAATGACGAGCTTCGGTCTGGACGCCCAAGCACGTCAACAACTAATGAAAACGTTCAAGCAGTGAAGAAAATTGTTCTGGAAAATCATCGAATCACTATCAGAGAAGTTGCTGAGGATTTTGGTATATCGCTTGGCTCGTGCCATGAAATTTTTTCTAACGTTTTGGGCATGAGACGTGTGTCAGCGAAGTTTGTTCCGAAATTGCTAAATTTTGACCAAAAGAACCGTCGCATGAGCATCGCTCAAGAACAGTTGAATGACGTCAACGACGACCCAGATCTACTCAAAAGGGTCATAACTGATGACGAATCATGGGTATATGGTTATGATATCGAAATCAAAGTCCAATCGTCCCAATGGAAGAGCCCAGATGAGCCAAGACCGAAAAAAGCACGCCAAGTTCGATCAAATGTCAAAGTTTTGCTCACTGTTTTCTTCGATTACCATGGCGTGGTGCATCAGGAGTTCTTACCATATGGACGTACGGTCAATAAACAGTATTATCTGGAAGTTATGCGCCGTTTGCGAGAAGCAATACGAAGAAAACGCCCAGAATTGTGGAAAAACAATTCATGGCTTTTGCATCACGATAATGCCCCTGCTCACTCATCTTTGCTTGTGAGAGATTTTTTGGCCAAAAATAACACCACAATCATGCCTCAGCCACCATATTCACCGGATTTGGCCCCATGTGACTTTTTCTTGTTCCCAAAACTAAAGAGACCTATGAAAGGACGGAGATTTGCAACGATTGAAGAGATAAAGACAGCATCGCTGGAAGAGCTCAAGGCTATACCGAAAAGTGCTTATGAGAAGTGCTTTGAGGATTGGAAAAACCGTTGGCATAAGTGTATTGTATCTGAGGGGGATTACTTTGAAGGGGACAACATAAATATTGATAAATAAATAAATATTTTTTCTTAAAAATACAAAGTCACCTTACTTTTCGAACACACCTCGTATATTTGAATATCTTTTTTCGTACAGATTACAAATTGACTAGAATGTTCGTTACAGTTAATCTGATCAAAGTACAACAGTATTAAAAATATCATATATCAATATAACGATTCTTTTATTACGATTAAAAGTATCATATATCAGTATTACGATTCTGGTATAGATGTAATACTGATAAGAGGTATATAAGTCACGTTTGACAACCAAAATAGTTTATATTTATATGTGAGATTCATAGATCACCTTCCATCTACTGGATTTCCAGCTCATTTAGTATTAAAGTGATGATTAAAAAGTTTTCTTGTATTCTTAATTTTTTTTTAATTATTTTATTATTTATACATTTATTAAAGAAACACATTCATTGATAACATCAATTACAAATGTAGTTATAAAATGTATCATTTACAAAAAGTATTTTTATCATTGTGTTAATAGAATTTAAAATTTCCACTATATAATGTATAATAGAATTATACCCTAGAATGCATTTCCTCCGATTCTTAAATTCTGCTCAGCAAAACAAGTTATTTTTCACACTTCAATTACTTTTTAACGTATTTCCATATCATTGTTATATTTAGTATTTCCTTCTATCTCTTCAATAACTGAAAAATTGTTCATTGTTATGTTAGTATTTTGTAATATTCATTATACAGGGATACTTTAACGAGTTTTGTATTAAAGAGGTTTTTGCATTTTTTTTCGATGTGTAAACCATTTCTTTTATGATGAATTGTATGACGATGGACCTGACGCGTTATCTTAAGTAAATGAAAGTTTGCGTATTCGAGTCACAATCGAAATATCAATTACAATGGACAAGTATTTTACTGCAAAAATATTTTAATAAATCAATATCTATATATTGCTGTCTATTCGCTCAGCAGTTTTATGTTTTTCAAGTAAATAAACCTGATCAATTTAGATAAAACGACAAAACATCAGTATTATTTACAATAAACTAATTCCTTTAAAAAATGTTGATTATTATAGGGCGAAGTTCTTTTCAAATTTGTATGTGTTAGCTTAAATATTATAATAAACGAATTTTGAGTTTAATATTACCTTCATAAAATAAACCTTCAGTATCTTCAAAACTACAAGATCCCTGCACGATTTTATGGATGTTTTTATTGTGTTGTCTTAAAACCTTTTCAAAATACTTCACATTTTCTATTATAAGAAATCTGTATTGCTTATTCAGATCTAATAATGTAATTAGATGTTTATTAACTTTCCCATATAACGCATCAAGTAAATTCTTTTTTACGTTAAGCGGTAAAAGTGATTTGTTCGAATTCATGTATTGACGTAGCCCCAAATGATGTCCATTGATCAAACTAGAAATGATCAGTTTCCTCAACATCAAAATTTGTTGGTTAGAATCTGAAAAAATGGTTTTGAATTATCGTATTTAATAAACTCGATTGACAAAATTGTCAATATTTACTGTATTTAAGTCCATAAGAGAAAGCTTTTTTTATTTCCATGTCCACGTTTTCTAAAATTATTCATAATGTGATATTTATTTTTCTAATTCAGAAAACTCATGTTATATTATTTAATATAATAGCATACCTCTAAACATTTGAAATGATTTCAAACGGTTATGGTTCCAAGATTTATATTTTTTTTGTTACCTTCCACATTCTGGATGTTCTTAGTTTCTATTAATTCCGAAGGGCAAATAATATTTTCGTATACAGGTGCTAATAGTGGTTGTTCATTAAAAACTGTGTAATACAAATATAGTTAAATACATTATATATGTGTCATTATATATTGATCAGATTGTAATCAAATATAATTGCTTAAATTTGAAGCCGGAAAGATTATATTTTACTGGCTTCATAAATAATAATAAATATTAACTATACAAAGCATAACTTTACCTTTGAACACATTTTCTTCACATTTTTCTAATCTTCTATCTTGAGTTTCAACCAAATTCAATGTACAAGAATTACTTATTTCTGAAATAGGTAACGGAAGCTCACTGAAAACTTGAGTATAATAATATGTTCATGTAAATTATTAAGTCTATTATATTATATTTTCATAGTGAATGATCATCATGAACACACTAAAATTATTTATACAAATAATTTGTATTCATATGTCAGTATTGATTAAAATGATCAATATTTTCTACACTTATAAATTAGAGGATCATAACGTACATAAGTATTTACCTTCAAAGTGATTCTTTACTTTTTCAACAACAGGACTGGTCCGCATAATGATTTCTTCATCAGTTAGAGGCGTTAATAGAATTTTCAGCTCTTTCGGTTTGAATTTGTGAGACAAATCATTTCTGAATTCTAAAATACAGACTTAACTATAATTTATTTATAAATATATGTATATTTTAGGCTAAAAGCAAATTATAGTCAATCAACTCTTTAACGATTTTAAATCGTCAAATATATTTGTTTAGTAAGATACACTTATAATATTGAAAGAAATAATTAATAAAATATTATAATCTTTTAAATGATACATTTCATCAAATGCTCGAACATGCCTTGAATGATTTTACTACATTGATATGCGGAAGATTATTTTCAATTTTTCATTACGCGTAGTTTACGTTGAATAATTTGTTAAAATTCTAGTACAAATAGTGGTTTTGGTTTTGATTTTGGTTGGCTTCTTGACCTCGCTCTGATCGGGTTCTAACATCCATACGAGAGTAACTGTTCTCTTTTTACTTATGTATTAAATTATATTTTTTTATAAACAAGTAGAAAGTGCTTTTTCCGGAACATTATATCAAATGGTATAAAAAAGCACTTTGTGCACGTGGTATGGAAAAATAGTTTTCATTTCAAAACAGCCCGCGAGAGATTATTAGATTGTGAAATTTCACTCTTCTCATATACGTCGATAAATGTTGTCCTTTTTATTCTATTAAAAGTTGACGGTAGACATAAGATTTATAAGTAAATGAAAAAAAATGTCGTATCGTGATTTTCATTGTGCTATTTTATATCATAAATATCTCGCTAAAATCATGTAAGTGGTTAAATGTTTAAAAGTTTAAAATTCATCATCTAAAATTATATCTTAGTACTACATAGATCTGCCCGAATAATAGTTAACTAAAAAGAACCATTTAAGAGTATACCCATAAATTTGAAAATAGTATATAAATATAATAGTATATAATTTATTTTTAAAAATTTCATTTTTTTGTTTTTGTAGTGGTATAAAAATTGAAAAGTACATAGTTGTGAAAGAAAAAATATTTTGTTATAGTCATTAGATATTGATCAAATCAAGAGTAACGTTTCATTATTTATAAAAAAACTACAATTTAAAAGAGCTAATAGATGCTCTAGTATTTATATGAATAAAGAAAGTTCAAATGAAACTTAGATTGCTCCTATTTGTTATTTAATAACGGGATTATTGCATTGTTGATGAGTTCGCAATTTGAAAACGTAAAACGTAGCAATAATTTCTTTGTTAAATAATGTATAATATTGTTAAAAAGTGGTGGAATTTGACGTGCGTTTACTCCTAGTTGTACAATTCATGAAAATTGGTTCAATCTGACAATATCAGTTGTATACAGAAATTCAACTATTAATGGCTGTAAAGCATGAAATTTAAAAATGTAAATTCTGAAAGGACAATATAAATGTATTAGTAAGAAAATCAGATGAAAGGTAAACAATTTTGCAAATCAACATTATAGAAAACGATTACAGAGGGTTGTCAAAGCCAAAACTATTTTTCCGTTAACTACAGGTAATTTCTGAGAGAAATTGTGAAACAAATCGTGCCTGTCAATTATTAATAAAAATTTTCTTTCGAATATATAACTGGACAAGTATTTAAAATAATCCAAGAAATTTTTATGTAATAAATCTTATAATGTATAATGCGGTTTATATATACCGAAAAATGAGAAAAAGATAATAGTAGATTTCGATTAATTATATCTAAGTTGATTGATTTTGCAGGATTGTTTATTCATTATGTAAGATGACGTGACAATCGTTAAATCGAGTTTCATCTCATGAAATGTAAATGTGAAAGTGATAACTTAGTACCACATACCTGAATGAATCAATTGCTGGCACATTTGTTGATAATGTATTTTATATTTGGTCAAGTTATTATAAATTTTACTGTGAGCAGTTTTGGAAATGTTTAATTTACCTAAAATATTTTCTAATATTAATGTTCTCAAAGGTAGTGAAATCATTTGTTCGCCATACAAACACTCCGCAAAGTTTATAGGGCATAGACTTATTGCTGTTTTAACTAATGCTTAATCATAATCTTCATAAGTTCTGTTTACAGGAGCTAAAAGTTTGATACTTTTATTGGTATTCTTATCTATAAAATAATGGAATTTAAATATTGTATAACAAAGATATAATTAAATATATTTTAAAAAAGGTCTGTTTTGCTCTAATTAATGTTATTGTGCTTTTCATTTTCAAATCGTACATGAAATTTATAGATAAAAATTGTACAATGAGTATTTTAGAAAGAGAGATCATTTTCTATTGTACATTGAATTATTTTCATCAATGCCTGCACAATTCTACTCCAAAGTTCAAAATTCAAACATTTATTATTATTGATCAATTATTGAAATAGGACCAGAAACTTGCGTTATGTTGAGTGTTTATATTTGAATATAATTGTAACCAGGCTTAGTAAATTAAATAATAAAATTAATTTAATTACAAATAATGTTTATAAAATGAAATATATCTTCAAATAAAGGCATAGAAATAGAGAAAAGTGATGCAATCATTAGATTTACCTGATACATCTCTGACAAATGTATCATGAAATTTTGCAACAAATTTTTCTACTGATTTAAAACTCGAACGATGACTACGATTATAAACATTTTCAACGATATTCCATGTAGTATTATCAGTCAATATTAACGTCCCAGATCTAACTAATTTTTCACTAATAATAAAATCAATGAATGTTGTATACAAATAACTATCATATTCTAAGCCTTTTCTGCTTTGGCCATAAAGTTTTCTTTGATTTGAATTAGGATTGTCACTTGTGTTTTTTTTAAACTTCTTGAGTTTGCTACTTTGTCAAATATTTTTAATTGTTTAATAAAATCAACAGTTTCCTCATCATGACATTGCATCTGTAATAATAGATATAGTTAAAACGTATGTAAAAATATAACATGATCATTTATTGTTGGTTGAAATTATAATCATTATAATAAATCACCAATTTTCCCATTTCATCAATTTTTATCTTAATCTATTCAAACTTTTCAATGAAAAGTGGTTATTAATAATCTATAATCAAAAGAGAAAGGGGAAAAAAGTTAATTATTTTTGACCATATATTACAAAAGTAATATAATTTACTTTATTTTCCACTTTTGTAACATACATACAAAAGATAATAGTTATTTTATATTACCTGAGTAGTTGAGTTCACTTCTTGAGTACAGTAACTACCTCTTTTATTTATTTCACACGTTACACATAAACATTGTTTATTCTTGTGGTCAAAAAAGTCAGGTCCATAATAACAACTTATTTCTTTACCTGCTTTTATATTCTTTTTAGTTTTTATATAAATAATGTTATTTCTCCATAGGCAAGTGCTATTGGCTTTGCAATCATGATTTACAAGTGATGCAGGACCTATGAGTAGCTTATTTTGTTTTGTCTTTGTAGTATAGGTTACAGAAAAATCCATTTTCTTTTTTATCAATATATCTAGTTCTTTATCAGAAATTGTACAATTAAATCCAACTAATTCTTCAATTTTCGTATTTTTTGTAATGTCTCTCTTGACTATAATTCTTACTTGATTCTCAATAGTTTTATAACGATAAGTTTTTTCAATGATAAAACAAGCATTAGAACTTATAAGCTTCAAATAAATATTCAAATAATCAAATATTTGTTGCTGAGTACTGATAATTTTTAACATTTTATCAATATTAATACATTTCACTATAAGTGGTAAAATGATTGAATGCTTTCTGAATGTATTTCTTTACTACTTATTGGGTATGATAAATATGGCTCACGAAGATTAATTTTTATGTAATTATCTAAATTAGTTAGGCATATTTGCATAACTGGAAAATTTAGATGCACGTTTAAAACTAATTTTCTTGATAAACTATCTAAAACAGATAAAGTACAGCTACTCAAATTGCTTAGAACTTCCAATTCATTCATATTGTTAAAAATATAAGAATGACAATTAAGTTATTATTACAGTACACAAACCTAGTACAGGTTAAAAATAGTATTCGCGTTATTAACCAACAAAGACCAGAAACACATTAAACAACTTTCTAGGCATGCTAGAAAAAAACCTTTATGTTTTGTGGGGATCCCAGAGAAAAGCAATCCATATATGCCCAAACCCAGAAAAATGTTGGACCAGAAACTGGCGATCCGTTAATATATATATATATATATTGTAACAGGCTGCCGTTTAACCTATTAAACCTATTTATTATCTCGGTCAACGACGCCTTGTTATCTACGTGCCGAAAGCACGTCAACCTACCTTGTCCGGGAGTGCGCCTGCGCAGAGTCTCCTCGCCAATCCGAGTTGGGTTCCCCAACTCGCCACTTGGCGGCGCTGTCGCTCTTGCTTAGCAGCGCTCCTACGGCCGCTGCTGGAAACTTGGTTGGCGATTCGTTTCTACCGATATCCGCGTGATCCGTGCTACGCTACCGGCTTATTCGAATCGAACGTCAACAAACGCGAACTCCGGACAAAGGAAAGACAAAACGATGACACGATTTAGTAATAACTATTGATCGCTTTATTAGATTAAATCTGATACACGGGGAATTTGCCGAGAGTCTTGCGCACGCAAATACAACTGACAATACGCCTGGGTGGGAGAGAGAGAGAGAATCGCGACCGACGCGAACTAACCGCTCGCACGCTATAAATAATTTCTTCGCGCACGCTGCGCGGGATCGCACGCTACAACAAAATAGGGGATGGTACACCTACCGCGAGACTGATGGGGATACGGTGGCCAACCGTATACGATGCACGAGTCGCTAATTAGCTGCTCCGCCGCTCGCTGCACTGCCGCTGTTATTGCTGTTGCTGTTGGTGTTGCTGCTGTAGTAGTTGCTGCTGAGGCGACTCCAACCGCGCACGTTTACCAGTGCGCGCACCACTCGCTCACTTATCACCAATTATCTGCTGCACCCTCTGCTCTAGCTCGCAACACAACGAACACAATGTCTGCACCACTCGGGAAAACTTCCTTTCTCGCACGACTGCCAAAACGCGTTGACGGCTCGAAAAAATTAGCTCGACGTAGACAGACTGAGTGACACAGTCATACTGCCTACTGAACTCTCCCCTCCCGGTCATTGCCCCTGCGCGCCCTCTCTCTCTCTCGAACCGATCGCGGCTATTCCGCTCAGCCGCTTATTAACCCACGCGAGTCGAACGATTTTCGGTAATCGTTGAAATATATATATATATATATATATATATATATATATATATATATATATATATATATATATATATATATGTATATGTAATTATTAATTATTTATTTTTAATTTCCAGCAGTCCACATCAATCACCGCGTTCTTTACCGGAATGTATGGAACTATCACCAGACGTGGAAGTGTGTGTATGTGTGTATATATATAATACTTTATATTATACTTTTTTACAGATCTGATTGCGAGATTGTGTGCGAGATGCACCAACCGAAACCTAGGAGGAATCGTGCATATCAACCTAGTCACTCCACCAATACCATGCATCGTCTTGTCAGCCCAAGGCCAATCACCACGACGCGAACAAAGCTGTGCCATGGATAGAATCGCCTACGTGTGCCGGTAGTCGATGAAGTTACCGCATAAAGATGGAAGAATTATTCAGAGGTGTATATAAAGGTATATATAAAGGTATATAATAAATATTTTATTTTATTTATTAACTGAAAAGAATTTCAATATTTTTTTCGAGCAGGTATAGTGAGACGGCTGTTTGACAACGACAGCCCTCCAAAAAGAAGCAGCACATCGCCACTGCTCGCTCCCCACAAAAGAAGTAAAATTTTATACGAGTTGGATGAAACAACGACGATGCTGTTGGACGCCGATGAAGACTCATTATAAATATATATATATAAATTATATAATTTAATTTTTATTAATAAAATTTAATTTTATCAATTTATTTTATCAATAAAACAATTTTTTATTTAAGAAAAAACAATATTTGCTATTACCGCCCCCTCTGCTCCACTAATTCATGAACTAATAATATTTAAAAATAATTAATAATAACACATTAATAATAAATTAATAATAATAAATTGATAATAAATTAATTAATAATAAATAAATTAATAATTTTTTTTTTACAAGGAGTTACAGAATCCTTTTTGCGGATTCCCCTTAGTATTGCTGACTGAGAGGCTATGTGGGACTCCCCGAAAAAAAACAGGCCTACCCACTAAACCGCCATTTCCTTGATGTCCTTCCCCCAGCCAGAGACTATGTTCATATTACTTCTGACTAGAGGTTGTGTCTGTGTTGGTCCGTTCGTGTCGTTCTTCCATATTTCGTTACGTCGCGTCACTTCGTCTGCTCTGTCATCTGTCAGGCCGTTGTCCGCGTTCTTACGTCTTAGTATAGTTTCCGTATAGGTAGCGATTAAGCGCCACAATTCGGGTTCACGCAGCATCACGGCCACAATGTTATCGGGGGTGATGTTGCCGACCGTTCCTTACAATTCCTGTCTGAGTCTTGTCCAGCGGTCACACGCGAAAACCGTGTGTTTCGCGTCGTCTCGTTCGTGTCCACAGTACTTACAGTCGGGTGTTCGTACTCTGTTCATATTGTGAAGGTACGTTCCAGAAGTTAGGTCCCAGTATCGACCCCTGTGCCACCCCAGCGGTGACCTGTCTCGTTACTTGTCCTTCGATCGTCTCGTACGTTATCCGTCTGTTTTTTTGGTAATCCTCCACAACCCGAAGCACGTATGGTGGGATCCCGAAGTTGCTTTTCAGCCTCCAAGATATCCTTTCACCTGGCCGAGTTAAAAGCATTCCTAATGTCGAGCGTCGCCAGCAACTCTATAGGTCGCGCTGCGTGGCAGTGTCTGTCTAGTTCAAGAAAGAGTCGACCACCTTTTAGATCGCTCCAATCGTCGATCGACTCCTCCTGAAACCGAACTATAAATGTGATAAACCCCCTCCGGTGTGTATCGCGTCCATCAATTTCGGTCTCATTAATTGTTCAGAGATTAAGATTCGCGTCAAATAAACTCAACGGTCGGTAAGCCGAAGGCGTGCCAAGATCGCTCCTACCTTTTGGTATAAAAACAAGCCTTGCCACCTTCCACCGGTCGCTGAATGTTCCTGTCGTCAAGCACTTGCTGTACAGGTCGAGGAGTATCTCCAGCCATAGAGGAGCAACAAGCCGGAGGATCTCGGACGATACGTCGTCCGGTCCCAGTGTCATACCCGTCTTCATCGCATTCGTTGGTATGATGAGCTCCTCAGCGGCAAAGGCAGGATTAGGGACCTGCCCGGGGATGTCATCGTTGCGGGGGATTTTAACGCGAGGGCGACCGAGTGGGGAATGAACGACACGAATCGACGCGGACGACTACTGCCGGAAATGGCCGCAAAGCTCGATCTAGCAGTAGTAAATACGGGACATACGCCGACGTATAGACGTTCAGGTGTCGGGGACTCTATCCCCGACGTCACGATGACATCAGACAGAATCCTGCCACGGCTGAGGGGATGACGGGTGATCGAAGACTACACAGCCAGTGATCACTAGTACATCGTCTCCGAAGTGGTGGGACGGACGGGAATAAGAGAAACAAGAACCCACCAACCCTTCGCGGTAGAATCTACGTAAGCTCGACGGATAAAAATTTTTGGAAGAGCTAATGGCAGCACCGGCTCTAGGGGAGAGAATTACCCCCGGACTGATGGGCCGGTAAAGAGCGGAAAGACTGACAGACGAGACGGCGAAATTAATAGAATTCTTGTGTAAAAGCACAATGCCAAAACGTAGACAGATACAACAAAGACAACCACAATACGGGTGGACGAATGAGATAGCCGAGCTACGAAGGATATGCCTGACAAATCGGCGACGAGTGACAAGGGCAGGGGGCGGACCCAAAAGGGAAAACCTCCAAGACATATACAAAACAGCACGGAAGACGCTGACGAAAGCAATATGGGACAGCAAGACGCGATGCTGGAGGAAGCTGTACGAGGAGGTGAACGAGGATCCCTGGGGAACCGGCTACAAGATCGTGACCGGGAAACTAGGGGCCCGAGTTTCACCGGAACTTAAAGATGCCGAAATAGCAGGACGGATAGTTGACGGATTGTTTTCGACGCACCCGATTAGGACAAACGTGATGAATGTCGTGGACACACAAATGCCCCCCGCCTTTGCCGCTAAAGAGCTCATCAGAGCAACGAATGCGATGAAGACGGGTAAGGCACTGGAACCGGACGAAGTATCGATCGATATCCTCCGGCTTGTGGCTCGTGTATGGCCGGAAATACTCTTAGACCTGTACAACACGTGCTTGACGACAGAAACGTTTAGGGATCGGTAGAAGGTGGCCAGGCTCGTTTTTATTCCAAATGTTAGGAGCGATCATGGCACGGCTTCGGCTTACCGACCGTTGAGTTTACTTGACACGACTGGTAAACTCTTTGAACAATTACTGAGACCGAAACTGATGGACGCGATACACACCGGAGAGGATTTATCAGACTTGCAGTTCGGTTTCAGGAGGGGTCGATTGACGATTGGAGCGATCGAAAAAGGTAGTTGACTCTTTCCTGGAACTAGACAGACACTGCCACGCGGCGCGTTCC